AGAGAGAGAGAGAGAGAGAGAGAGAGAGAGAGAGAGACCCACGCCCAGCAAGGCAAGAGAACAGGTATTGCACAGGTCATGTACAGCGCGATCGACTTTCAACATGTCCACCATGCTCACCCCAACCTACGTAAGCGAAACGCACGAACACGACGAGTCTTGCTCGCCAGAACGAGAGCAAAAATCCTCGAGCCGTATGTCAAGGCCTTCTGTTTTCACTCCTGGGCAAGGACGGCAAGCTCCTAGCACTGGCAACCGAGCACCCATGAGCGGCTCGCGTGCCCGTTTGTCCGAGGAGCCCGCCGGCTAAATATGTTGCCAAATCGTGTTTCCACCTGCGATCAAGATATTCTTATTGATGGACCGGTTACATGGAGCGGTCGGTCCTCGACAAACAAACACGCACTCAAGACAAACATCGATAGCGGTACGCAAACTAGTCCAGGGTCCTCAATTGAGGTTACCAATCACCGATACAACACCCCCAAGCTGCTTCGTCCTGGTGCAAAGCGAGTTTGGGCACAAACCAAAAACCACCACAACAACAATCGAAAAACAAAACCTACACATAAAAACTCACGTGCTGTCGCCCGCTAGACTGTTCCCGTTGATCGTGAGCAGAATATCCTTCGGCTGGATGCCCGCCATTGCTGCCCCGCCTTTTGGATCCGTCAACTGCATAACAACGCAATATGCCAAAAAAAAAAGGAACCAGAGAAAGATCACGACTTCTCCTCGACGTTGGTGGAGGATGACACGGGATTGCCGTCAAAAAAACGATATCAACAACAGGTTGGTCTCAACTTTGATGGGGATGGGAAGGGGCAAATGTAGCGGGCGTGCAAAGCTCAATTGTGAGGATAGTCGTCCATGTTTGTGCGGGGTCGGATGGGACATGTAGCGGGTGTCGAACGACATGCTGGTATCCTTGTTTCGGAAAAAAAGCAGCCTCCCGCACCACTGGACAACGCTTCTTACTGGTGAAGGAAGGAAGGAAGGGCTCAACATGGGAGGCCCTCTGACAGAGATTTCGCAGGTGATAATCGTGTAGAGGCAAATACGACCATGGGCCACGATGGCAATGGGTTGCCGTACGGACTATCGTGAACACGGAACAGCAAGCTCTCTCGCGACGGTCATGACAGGCAGCGTTTCACGAGTTGGAAGAGCTGACCTCACCTGTCTCCCACGTGCTATGAGTAGAGCCTTGGACCCGAGAAAGGAAACGGCGACCATCGATATCGCAAAACAAGTAAAAGCAAAAAAAAGCTCACATCCCTGTCTCGGGAGAGACGCGGCCATTGTCCAACGCTCGCATGAATGACGAACGCCACACAAGAAATGAGCTTGGTAAAACGCATTTAGGCGTCCAAAACCATTGTCACCAAAGATGCTATTTTGGGGGGGGGGGCGTATCTTCGATGATCCTATCACTTGATATGGGAGTATTATTACGTTTTGGGCTCATGCTGAGCCGCACCGTGTTACCGCCGGGGGTAGTGATCTGCCCGGGTATTGTATTTATCGTGGGGACGTCATCTTGTGTGGCACGTACGGTAAGGTGAGCAACCGAACGAGCACCTACACCGCTCCCGACCGGATGACGTGCGCTCAAATCTGAAGCATGGAAAGATCCGAACCATCGTGCGACTAAAAGGCCCTTCCCCCACACACTCCGAGTGAGCATTAACAGGGCGGGCATAAACTCTCCCCGCGCTGCGAGGTCAATTGTCTAACGACTACGGCATTCACGACGATGAGTAGCTGTACTGGGGCAAAGGAAGTGGGTGGAAAAGGCGGCAAGTGATATCGATAGGATATATAGGCTAGGGGAGACATTTTTGAAGCACCTTGGGCAAAGTAGGAAGGAACGATTGGCCATCGGTGATCGGCCCTGTGGGAACAGTGCTCCGTCCTCTCGAGGACGCGTGGTCAATGGTCTAACCGCTAAGGCATGCAAAACATAAAAGAGGACGCCCTTCCCCCCCCGGTGTTTACCATCGGGGTTGGGTTTTCGTCGCTTGGCAACGACGTTGTAAAACAAGCC